CCACTCCTGCCCCCGAGGAGGTGGCTTTTGTGGCTCTTTTTATACACACACACCACAATAAAAACAAGGACACAAACTAATCTCGGTATCTTGAGCGGCCCAGGTCCGTCCGCTTATGCGTTTTGCTTCATGCTCACGATGCAGAGGTGGCGAGCAGGCACACAGATCCCTGGCAGCCTTCTGGCATCGTGGGCACGTAGGAGACATCCGATGCCAGTTTCTCGCCCGCGTCCTTCGGTTCTCAGGTGGAACCTCACCAGCCTATTGGCTTGCAACATCTACAGCACCTCAAAGTATCCAAAAGCTGGTCTGTGGAGATACAGAGGCAGCCATTAAAAAGTCCCTTACGGTGGTAAACATCCCAAACTTCTTGCCAAATCCAAAAGTCACAGCTCTTTCAAGTCAAGCCCAGCTCATAGTGACCTTATGGACATTCTCGTTCCAGGATATTTTTTGAACTTCCAGGTTAGAGCCCAGGGACCTCCCGGTGGTTCCCAATCCAATTACTAACTTGCTCAGCAATTGTGAGGTCAGCCAAGGTTGCCCAGATGCCAACTTATCAGCATATTATCCACCCCCACCCAATTCTGGGAGTTGAAGTCCACCCCCGGGGAAAGGCAACTATACTTTTTAGGTTTAAAGTTCTGAAACAATTTCTGGCATGGAACAGTAACACGACTACTGTTTTCAGGGTTTATAATTAAGTCATTTATTTATTTTTAACCAGGGATATTTTATTTATGTTGCCCCCAAGGAGGTGGCTCTTTTTATACAGCATTACTGTAAACCACTAAGAGTCGTCTGACCTCAGCAGCCAATCAATCCATCCATCCATCCATCCATCCATCCGTCAATCAATCTGGATGCTCTTTTACGGATACCTAAAATCCCCTTTCCCCCATTCAACTGAGGATTTACTCCAAAATAAAAACCCTCTGGACTTTCGCTTGAGAAGGGCCATTCTTTAAAGTTCACCACCATCAACCACCCTGTACTGAATGCGCCCCACGGATCTGTAAGGCTCAAAACCATCCTCCGTCTCCAGCAGAAATTCTGATCGTGCCCACACAGGAAGGTGGGAGTTGTCGTCCAACACATCTGGAGCCAGACTGGGGAAAACAGCTGTGGCAGATATTCTACAGAGACGGAGAAGGAAGAGCAGCACAGCCATGTGGAAGAAGCCAGCAAGATGCAGGGAGGCTGCG